TGTGGTGCCACGAAGGAATTCGCCGAGTTATATGCGTCTAAGATGGACTGCTCACGACCAAATTTTCTCATCTTCTCAAGCATGAAAAAACTAAACAAATTAGTGGCGAAAATTAACAACTTTGGACAAATTCTAATAACTGATTCTGTATCCATATTTAACGGATGAATTAAGCTGTTGTTTGTAGATTTGACGGACAATCATTTAAAAACAATAAATGTTACAGCCTTTTCCAGCCAAACCAAAGCATCGAAGACTCTAATACTTTTCAATAATGGTATTGAGGGTGTTCCAAGTCATACAATGGAGATCATGTCTGTTTTGGAGAATATTGAATTACGCCTATCTTAATATGAAATCTTGCAGAGTTATACTATTGAAAAGCTTTCAAAAATGTTTACCATCAATTTCAAAAAATCATTTTTGTGTTCTTGTGATTACATGAAACTCCTGTCATGGATACGGGCAACAGACGGGTTATCCGACACATGTAAAGCAGAAATTGGAAATCCCGTAAAAAGAATGTAATTCTGGATACATTGAGCATCTTTCAAGAAAACTTATTTGATTTCTGGTATTCGTGGTTCTTGTCATTGTCTTTCTGGTAGTAGGCGTTGTCGTGTATATAGCTAAGGGAAATATTTTTATTGACTGCGCGGAGAAAGCATTCCAACATGACATATTATGGTATGATGTTTTTGTAGCGTATTCACATCATGACAGCAGTTGGTTTAAACACTATCTTGTACCAGTATTAGATGTTTAATATGGTAAATCCATTGTTGATAGCATAAAAGATACTACGTCCCCGTCTCGCAAAGTATTTTCCTTAGTTTCCTACAAGTTTATCAATACTGGGTCGGGAATAGAGGAGTAGGGTGTGGCTAGTTAAGATGTTTCAGCGCTGGAAAAAGGGGTAACAATATCATGATTTTTCTTTATGATATTAATCGTAGTGAAATGCTGAAGGTACTGCGCCAGATATGGGATCATACTGTTGGTTTAAAATGAGCAATGGAAGTTGAACCTGAAGAATCGGATCGCAAATCTGCAAGACAGTGCATCTGGGAAAATCGCTTGGAAAGGAGAAATCCTTATGATGACAATGAACGAGTACCATCTTTAAAGTAATATGTTCTTATGTATTAAAAGGACAAATGACCTTGTTTTGTTTCTACAAAAATGTGAACAAATAAAGGTTGTGTCCGAAGGTGTATATCTTTGCTGGTCTGTCACGTTACAATGTTTCGAGTTTAGTTTTATGATATAATTGATTCCGGATATTGCGGTCCGGACTTAAGTTTTACCGGTTTTCGTCTGTTAGTTGTCAGGGAGTTTACAGGACTTATGCAAAGGCGTTAAACGTCTGTCCATCAATGAATACTTGACGATTGTGCATATCTATCCAAAAGTCAGTTAATTAAGTAACATTCGCACTTAGCATCCCTTTGTTTACTTCCAGTCAGTTTTGTATGAATAATCAAAGTACTGAAAGCAATGTGAGAAGGATACTGACGGTTTGGTATGTTAGGAATAATAGTGTTCATAGTTACAATTGTACATCTGTAGCATACTCTGATAAAGGTTTTGTTTTTTTATGTTGTAGTCTTTTACCTTCCTCCCGGTAGTTTGTGTAATAAACTCATTTAACATCACAAGGTCATAAAATGCATTCTCTGGTGAGCAGAAGTTTTGGGAACATTGTTCTTTACTTCTGATAACACCCTTCTTGCTGACGCGGCAGTGGTTTCTGAAGTTTTTGTCGTTTGTGGTTGAAAAACGGCCGGTCTTGCGTACACCAATTAATTGTATTCATGGTAAGGGGTACGGGGCGTGGGGCAAGTACCTCCATGGAGAACAAACATGTATGAGACTGCCTCCGGATTACAACGCCGAGTTCGATAAGCTAAAGGTTCTTAAGGTGTTTTACTGAACTAATGGGAATGTGATATGTGATGTATTGAGTATAAAGAAACCTGTATTCTCTCTTGTTATGATGCATTCCAGATGGCTGTATCGACCTGGTAACGCAAACAATATTTAAAACTCTCTCGACAAAGGAAATGGTGCTTATAGAAGCATTTCATTATATTGTGAATGCCCTTGGACCTCACTTTTCATACATGTATATTGGATTTGCACAATAAAAAGTTTGTATAAAGGTAGCTGTTAATTGCAGACGGTCTTCCTTCTCTAGGATGGGCAAGAAATTTAAAGGGGGTTACTTTTTATAACGCTTTAAATGTTAGAAATGGAGTCTCAGATATCAATCAGCGCCCCCTTCCCTCTTAAATACAGATCCTGGTGATCTTGTTTTTAATTCAAAATAAAGACAAGCCTATTCACATTTTTCCAAGTTTGCACAAAGTGACACGCAAACCCAAATACTGGGTAACAGTTCCTTCATGCTTGTCAAACATCAGCATTGGATAAGTTATTGTGAATTATGACATCAATATCATAATGAAATGATTGAATAAACGTTCCTGATCCTTTCAGTAAATGCTCTGTGATCCGTAAATGATGCCTATAAGAATATCCGCAATCTAAGTTATGCTATCAACGTTTATTTGTCTTCCAACAACACCGTTCCTTATTGACATGTATATTAAAATGTGAAGTCTGGTAAATAATCTTTTTCTATCTTTTTTATTGGATGCGTAATCCCCTCATGTAGATTTGTTTATCATTTATTCTGGTGAGTAGTATGTTCTATTTATCATTGCTTGTCTATAGGAAGTGTTATTAGTGTATATGATGTGAGCTACTTTATAATAACCTGTTTTTCCATTAGAATGATATTTCTATAAATGACGTTTTCTAGTTTACGGTTTGTCTTTTTTTCTAATAGTGTACTTAATTAATTATGGTGTTTGCTATATTACGATTAGTTGTCTTTTCATTAGTGTTATTCCAATACATGATGTGAACTTTAGACTACGATAAGTTGTTTTCTCGGAAAGCTAATACCTCTATATATGGGGTTTGCTAATTGCTTATAAGATTTCCTTCCAGTGTCAGTATTCTTGTATATGTGATCTAAAACAACAGGAAAATACCAACATGTGAACGTAATCATAATTCATATTTAAATTCAATGAAACTAAGACAAATTTTGAACAAAAGACAGATTTACTCTGATGCTTCTTAAAGCATACAAGGAGAATAAGTCTAAATGTTCCAGAAGAATAAGCGTCTTCTGATTCATTGACAGCACCCATTATGTAAATCTTGGTCAATCTAAGTAAGTAATGTATTGTGCAGAAACGAAAACAAGGTATACAACAACGGAACCAACTAAATTAAACAATTAAAGCGCATCAAACACGTACATATCGCACAAAGAAATGAAATATCTCACAATGAGATCACTGTAATGACCGAAAAACTTCCCCATCATTTCCATCGACTTGCATCTCTACCATGTGTTACAAAGTTATGAGTTTGTTAGTCAGTTGACGACATAATTATCCATAAATGGAAAATTCACAATAGATAAAAAAGGAATTCATCATCCTTATCGTTTCGTTGATTTCATCGTAGAAAAAAGGTCATGAAAAGCGACAGACGAAGAAGAGTCTGTCATGTCTTTGATTGCTGATTCTGACGGGTATATACGAAAGACGTTAATAAATCTCGTGTTATTTAAGACAAGAAATCAACATCCTATCTGAAAGTGAAATTGAATGACTTGAATAGACTTTATGACCTTTGCTGGTAAGCTCTTCGACAAAATTCGCCTCATGTGAAAACAAAACTAAAACAACTAACCGAGGGGCACAGTTGGTTCCTATAGGTATGCCAATAGTTTGTTGGAAGATCTTATCACCAAACCCGATGAAAATGCTGTCAACCAGAAACTCGGTTTCAGGTTAGTTGTTTTTCCTTTCCTTGAGAGCTGATTTTTGTATATATCTGTTCTTTAAGCAACTCTCTTTCATCACAATAGGTGCGCTAGTCTAAGAATACTGTTGTAAATAATAAACGACATTTTTCTGCGTACTGCTTCCTCTTTATTTTACTGTTCAAATCTTGTCATATGCTGTTTGCTGCCTTCTTTCTGTTAAGTCTCGGAATTAAACTGACACAATTTATCTCCTTAATGCAGATAGCTATCAAAAAATTTTGCCATAATACATTTGGGCTAGATTACCCGGATATGGCAGTAATTGAATTGATAGCGTATTTGTAAGCCTTTATTGTATAATTTCATATCGGATCATGTGATAGGATATATCTGTTGTGATGGGAAATCTAATACCGCCGTTTTCATTGTGAATTCTATTATTTCTACTTCGTTCAATACAATCGATCTATTTATGCAGTTTTATCAAAGCATATCGTTTAATTTTCCGTCTCTTAAATGCATTACTACGCAGTACCCATGTACCTATTAACCAAACATCCCGATTCAATCGTCAGATAGACAGGCAACAGCCTGATTGATTTGGCTATTTCTCGAATTTTAATATAAAAATGCAGATAATGCTGACATGAGAGAAATTCAATATGTTAAACACATGCTTTCAATGCATGTAAAGAAAAAAATACCTTTACAATTAATGAAAAGACATAATTGCATACGAAGATCTTTGTATTGATATGTTTAACTTGCAGTGGGCGGACACATGGTAATGATATCGGTATCGTTACCAATGGATTCAAGTAAACATACAATCTTAAAATGGTCACGTAAAATTATAAATAAGGCGGACATATCGAATATTTTACTCTGTCTGAAGGAAGGAAAGGGTAAAGTCATGAGCGTAAGCATAACGTTACTGTATGATTCGTTGTTTATTACTGTCGGTAGTTTTATATATACATTTCATTACAGTGAGCTTCCATGTATTGCATATTTCTGAATGAGACACGACTAGTTTTATACCATGTCAGGACAGGAATTCTAACATGTTCAATAACTTGTAAAATTGTCTTTGGGAAAATATGTGTAATTTAATGAGTTTGTAGACTTAATATCATATATTTGTATCTTTAAGTCTTGCCAGAGTAACGAAGCGATAGCTGACAACTCAACGGTAAGTATCTTATAGTCTGTTTCTAGTTCCTTGATAGCGACGTGGATAACCATACTATCTAAATTTGTTGTATATGATTTATGTTCTGTTCAATTCATTTATCTAATGTCATCACGCAGTATTTAACATTCATTGAACAGGGAATAACACTTATTCAAGACCTTTTGAACTCTAAGAACAACTAGAGAAAATCAGGAGTGAAAGGGCGTATAACTTGTGGCCAAACCAATGGATATATATACAAAACAAAACAGATAAAAAGCGTAACTCAATTAGACGAACGACATCAATCAAATTAATAGTCTATTTCCTTTTCTAACACAACATAGATTAAATATTGAAAATACCTTGATAAAGATTGATAAGATCTTCTTTTTCTGAATTTGGAGATGTTTTCGTTGCACAGTTTTAAAACTCATATTTAACAATAATTACTTTGTTACAGTCCGAATACGTCATCAGTGTGAAAACTGGTGACCGAAAGGGGGCGGGTACGAATGCCAATGTTACACTTGTCCTGCACAGCTCTTACGGAGACTCATCCAGAGAAATTCATCTGAACAAATTCCTGAGAAATGACTTCGAAAAGGGAAGAAATGATTGTTTCAAAGTTACGGCATCTTTTATTGGTGAAATAGACATGATAGAATTATGGCGAGATGACGCCGGGAAAAAGGATGAGTGGTTTCTTGAATGTGTGGAAGTCCGCTGCAAGGCTTCCAACAAAGCATTCGTTTTCCCATTTCTCCGCTGGGTTAAAGAAGGTTACCGTTACAAGATCTGCCATCTTGATACGTCACTTCCTCAAGATGATCCTTACAAGGATCAGAGACTTATGGAACTCAACGATAAAAAGGAGACCTACCAGATGGAAGTTCACGTTCCAGGACTGCCGATACAGGTATATGAAATTGTATATCATTATATCATGTCTTTTAAACCCAAATATTCTTGTTTCAAGGTTTTAAAAAAGATATTTTCAAAACGCCAGTATCTGATGCACATACTTTGGAACTGTTAAAGCATGATAGTAAATATAACATTGTCAACTCACGCAAATTGGAATTGGAAATCAAGGACTCTTCTTGAAAAGTCGCATACTTTGATATTTTCTTGCAATGAAACCAACAGGGACAGCTTTCCACCAGATATGGTTTTAATTTCCTCAGTGTTAATTTTCATTTCCTGTATGTCACTGGGTGTGGGAAATTGTCACGTCCGAATTAACAGTCAGCAAACCAAAACGAAACGTATATACATTTATTTACAATCCAAGCAATATAAACAAACAAAAACCTACGAAGAACACACCACACCACTTCACCTTACCACACTCATATTTCCTCTTACACTACAGATACGGAAGCACCCTTTAGTAATTATACCATATACTAAAACCTGCGAAATTATCTCTAAATGAATATTACAGTCTCCTTTATAAGTTCATAAACTTGGCGTGACGACGTCACGCGAGATAAGCGGTCACTCATCCATGGACGATATCAGTCAAGGTAGTATCATGATCAGTTCCTTTGGTTGTAACACTTTCATCAAGGTCTTGATTCTGGTCACAGACTACTGACGAAGGTTTCAGTATCTTCTGGGTCACATATAGTGGTACATCAAGTCCTAGGTAGCTTCATCCCGAACACCACGGACACACAGTCCTGGTTCTCATAAACACGGCACACAGCCTCTCGGACACACAGTCCTGGTTCTCAGAACTATGGAACACAGCCTCCCGGACACACAGTTCTAGACGAAACCGCTACATTTTCATGAACACACAGTCCTAAACGTCTCATGGACATACAGTCCTAGACCGACGACATGGAACACAGCCCACACAGATTGGAAAATAACATTGATGGCACACAGCCATCATTAGCACACAACTAATAAAATGTCATACCGACAGGTACCAGTTCTAGGTTCCCAACATATTGATTCCTGGAATTAGGCACATAACCCTCCTAACAGTACTCCCAATATTCATGGTGCATACTTAGCACAAGTTCTCCAACTTACCTGGTGCCTACGCTGGCCTGCTCTGGCCTGACGAGTTCCCAGCATAGCGCGTGCATAGCAGGTATGTGAATGATCTTTCACGGCTGAGTAGCCTCCATAGAAAACTTATAGTGACACAAATGTAAACATTGTGGTTAAATTTTTAGTAGTATTCTGACACTGGATAACACCATACCTGCATTTCGACTTATAATGTTTACGTCAAGCAGGTTCTTCTATGAAGATTAAGGTTAACCATATTAAAAATAATTCGTATTATTTTTTTGCAATATGAAGCTGGACAAGTTTGAATCCTGTAGTTTGCTCCGTGGTCGTTTAATTTGTTCTTTGTTTTGGGAACGTGACATTACTAAGATTGCCAAAACTTTGTATGACACATGTCGGCTATGAAGCAGAAGACGCCTACCATTCCAAAATAGCTGGTCTTATTCTCATTTTGTGCAAATCTTCTTTTTGTACATCAGGCCCTTATTTTGTCAATTTTTTGTATGAATTAAGATTTTTTCACCTTTCCAAACAATAATTTCATTCAACGGTAATTGTATTAATTTGAAGTACTCATTATTCGTCTAGATATTTTATATGATACGCCTCTTCAATATATTGACATTAGGTCAGGCATATCTCTACGTCATTCATACAATCAGTCATTAATGTCAATTAAGAATTATAAGTTTTCTCACTTGCATAAAATAACTTTAATTCTACAGAAACAAATACGTTACTCTAATATCATAACTACAACTCATTTTCCCCACAATACCATGCATGTTTTAATGAGGTAAAGTGGAACCCAACATTTTTTTTCAGGAACTTCAGTCTTTGTAATATTGATGATCATGGAATATGTATTTTTCCACGCATATTTACTGAATATGTCAATTGTTGAGAGAAAGATTTAAGTTTTAACAGGGCATCTGTGTCTTTGATAACTGAACTATACCGTCCACGAGCTCATTTCTTGTTTAGTTCATTCGTTCACTTTTAAAATAATTCTCTGTTTTTTCCTACCCTGTCTTTTGATATCCTGTATTTCGATACCTGTATTTTGATATCCTGTCCATTAATTCTTTGTCTTTTGTTACCCTGTATTTCGAAACCCTGCCTTTGATACCCTGTCTATTGCTATCCAGTTTTTGTAATATCTTTTCCATCATTTTTCGGTTTTTATCATGAGAATCCTGAAGTTGTAAATAAACTAAAATTACACAGCTTATTGACAAGTACTCTTTTGATAACACTGTAATTATCAGAGAAATAAGCTGACGTTGTAGTGTCCACACGTCCGTAATTCTGGCGATTTACTAGGTTAATCACGAGGTAATCAATATTTCTAAGAGTACAATTGTCAAGGAATTTTCTCTAAAATTCGTTTGATTTAAACAATGTTTCATTCTATATATAATCAACAATATTACACATACATAATATCACAACACCCACGCTAGAAGTTTGTGAAAGAAGAGAGAGAGGGAGAGAATTTCCAAGGGGTATACCAATAGTCTTCTGTACGGTCAAATTAAGCAAAACATCTTCTGCTAGACATTCCAATGTTGAAACATTTCCACCATAGGTGTATTTTGTCTTCGCGATGAGACGTGTATTAAACAACCTACGTCCTGGTGCGAGTTATATCACAATCATTCGCTTGTGCACATCCATGTACTTTGAAATGGGACTTGATAAAATGCAAATGAAACAATTTTCTGCTCAAATAGTAGTCTTCAAAACCATGATACTCATTATCAATTTATTTTGCTAGGCTAAGGAAATACCAGATGATGAAAGATTTTCTTGGGACTATAAGGTAAATATTCTCAATCCAATATTTTGCCAAAAGAATAATTCATTTGTTTTAATTAAACTAAAAACACGGAAAGAACATGCTTAAGCTTACAGTATGCCTTGTAATATGGGGTTTATTGTATCACAATGAGCCCGTACAGTGCATTTTTCTAAATCTCAGCTCTTATAATAAAATATTAACATTAGCTGAAGCAATCTTTTTCATATCAACACCATTTTGTCGTGTAATAAATTATAAAACTGGAAAAAGACTCTCAGATTCAATATTTCATTCCACATGAACAAACATGGTTTAGAAGTGTTCGTTATTTGATATAATTACAGTTCGACCTAGGGAAGCTTGCCGCAGAGGTTAAAATAAAAGGAAAATTTGTAGAGACAGTAAGCGGTGATTGGGACAGCTTAGATGACCTTGGAAACATATATAAGTGTGAAGTATTCTCGAAACCCACGGTAAGTATTAAATGATGCCGCGTTTAATAATTAGTAGACATGTTATTTAAAATTGGTAAAACTGTTTAAGGATATTTAATGTAAACCGAATTTCAGAACGTAAAAAATGACTAAACATTACAATGTGTTAAAATTTATTTGTATCACAGCCTCTGGCAGATGACACATGGGATACGGACGAACATTTTGGCTACCAGCGTATTGGACGTATCAACAACTCTCTTATTACACTTTGTGCAAGGATCCCAAACAAGTAAGTCTATCTTCTGTCTTTAGATTTAACTATTAACTAATACAATCTGGGAAGCTTGTAAAGTACTTTTAAAATTTTCCCGCATTGAAAAAGTTTACTTTGTCTACAAACAAAAGTTGATAATGTATCTCAATTATGAAAACTGATATCTGTTAAAAATGTTCTCCAGACTTGCTGTGACCGACGAAATGTTAAAACCGTTTCTAGAAGGCGCCACGCTAGAACAAGCTATAGCAAAGAAGAAGTTGTTTTATGTCGACCTTGCTATTGTAGAAGGAATACCCGTGAAAAATGGACTTATGGTAATCTTTATATATCTGTGAACTTCAATGTAATGTTAACTTCTGTACTATAGATAACTGATGTTCTTACTCTTTCGTTGTATCGCACATTTTTCCATAGCCATGATTTATTTCTAATGGATTGATTATAAACTACGGTCAGAATTTGTAAAATAAACATTGAATTCCCACACGAAAATTGATACAATAATGGTACAATAATGTTTTCAAGACGTTTAATTTAGGCCTGATATTAAAACAGGTGTGTGCTCCGATCGCTCTTTTCTACCATAACAAGGAGTCCAACTTGGTTCCCATTGCAATACAACTGAAACAGCAACCAGCTGATGACAATCCGGTGAGTGTGAAGATAACAATAAATCTTAATCATTACCAATGTAATTTAATTAATGATTTGTAACATCATCGCTACATTGAATTGTCACCTGCCATGAAAAGGACAACTGCAAATATCCAGTAGGATAACTTGAGACGTTACAGAATGGAAACCTTGACTTTAATTTCATGTCCATTTAACTTTGGTTTAGAATCATCAAAGGACACTACGCTTCAACAGATCTCTAAAACCTTCTGCCTTCTCCCATCCTTTCTCCTGGAATATCATATCAGGGAAAATCTTATTGATTTTCGTATCAGAAACTGAAAATGTCATCATTGGGGTTCCTTTTGTTGGTGTATTATGTGATCAGAGTTTTAAAATGTAATCCTTTTCAGTGTACTAATCTCTTTCTCTCCTACAATACATCTATGTCGTTTAATTAATAGAACAGTCATTAAGTGACTTTGGAAACAAGTCAATATGAAAACAGGTACTTCAGATTTATAACCCAACTCTTAGGCCACGAGACTTACTAAGTATTGATATTAATATCGACATCATTCTTATCAACGAATATTCCCTGTTTTTAGTTGTTGAAATATGAATGAGCAATCTTAATATTGTTTATTATGACGTTAAAACATTTCTCGATTTCTGTTAATAGGTGTTCCTTCCATCAGATCCTAAATATACCTGGCTGGCGGCGAAGATGTGGTTCAACCTTGCCGACGCCTCTTATCACGAGTCAATCACACACTTAGGCAAGTTATAAAAAAAAACAAAAAAGAAAAAAACAGCTAACCATTTGTTTTCTTTTGATATAAGTAGCTTTAATAATCAATGGAATAATATTGAAAATATATTTGTATCCCACAACGAAAAAAACGAGGAATTGAAATTATTTTTGACTGCCTATATGTCACTATTACGTGGCACTCATTTCTAAGTATACGTATGTGTAAATCCAGTAAACAAGGATGGTAATTCTACCTTTTCTTATTTCCGGATACCAATTTAGTATGGTGTTACGCAACGGTTCCTGTTGGAATATGATAATGTCCGAGAGGTCATGAATTCATGTCCAATAATTTTTGTACTCATTCATATATTTTTAAGACACAACCTGATCTGATATAGTTAAAACCAAGTGTGTGAATAATAATCTTTATGATGTTTTATAACAGGATTCACCCACATGTTGATGGAGGGGTGCGCACTCGCCACTCACAGAAATCTGTCCCACTCCCATCCCATCTTCAAATTATTGGCACCACATTTCCTCTATCTGATAACCATTAATGGGTAAACATCTTTCTTCACGTTCAATCCGTTTTGCGAAATCCAATATTTTGTGTTGTTATTGGAAATTAATACTTTTATATATGTTGTCTTTTCCTCACTAAATGAGTACCAAAACCATGTATACAATATTGTTAACAGATTAGCACTGACTACCCTAATAACCTCGGACGGCTGGGTTCAAAATGTGATGGCGATCGGAATTGATGGCATGTTTGCGTTAATCAGAAAGAAGTAAGTAATTCATATGACAATGCATTAATAAAAAATATTTCATTCTTTAATATAGGTCGTAGACCATTCGTGTTTTTCTGTGCTGTGTCTCATATAGCTATTGTTTTCAGGTATGAAAATCGCAAAGATATTAAAGAAATGCACTACTTAAATAAAATAAAATTTTAACTTTCAATATAAAATAAGAACAAAAACGAAGCACATTTAGACAGTTGTATACACAAAATGCACTCTTTAGATATATTCTATGAATTGTGTTCTACAGACTGGATACGTGGCGTATGGATATAGATGGAACGCTGCCCAAAGAGTTGGAAAGTAGAGGGGTACTAGTGCCTTGTATATTCATTACTGGATAATCAATTGTATGTGGGGAAAAAGTTGTTAAAGATAAAAAAAAAAGACTAAACAGCAATCGCAAATAAAATAGTGACATAATAAAATAGCAACTTATTTCGCTGTCATGATAATATTAAGACATTAATTCAATGAGATAATGTTTCATGCTCTTATTGATTAATACTATTAATATCTCCACATTGTATCACACCTAGTTACTGGACAAGACCATTTTGAGTGGATATCATTATCGGGATGACGCTTTATCATTGTATGACATCATCAAAAACTACGTCACAGATTACGTCAGACTATACTATGGTATGTAGAGGTACTGAATACCAACAGAACATCGGTGTGTACGTGTAAATTAAAACACAAATTCAAAAGACCCAGTGTTAAATTTATGAAATGTAAGACAAACTTTAACATTATTCATGACTCTACTTATATAAACCTCCAGACAACCCAGCAACATACAAGGAAGACCATGAAATCCAAGCTTGGGCTCAAGAGTTGGTAAAACCCAGGACACAGGGCGGTTGTGGCCTACTGGTACGTAGTTCCAATAATTTAAGTTGATTACTTTTCTCTGTTTTGTACAGATATTGATCTTACAACATTTCTTTAATAATTAGTTACAATTTTACTTTTGGTGGTGTCTCTAGGAAGCATATTACAGCTATACATATATTTCCTTCAATACTCCTATGTTGCTTTCCGAACATCCAAGATAACATTTCCAGTATATAGCATCAATTACTTGAGTTCACGTTTTAAATGATTTCTGTATACAGGGTGTTCCTGGAGGGGGATCGATCACCAAGGAGTCTGATCTCGTGTGTATACTGAACTGCATTATCTTTACAAGTAGTGTCGCTCATGCCGCAGCAAACTTTGCACAATACGACGAATATGGTTTCCCGCCAAACTACCCCGTTGTCATCAAAGGGAAACCCCCAACTGACAAGGTAATTCTTCACTTTCGTTTAAGTACTAGTATATCAGTGGTTGGATACATTGAATCTATTGCAACGTATGCAAAAGATAAATGAAATATTTAGTCATGTTACTCGCTGACTTACTTATATAACATTGTTTATTTCAATGAAATTTGATTCTCTGATAAATGATAATTGCATAATTAGTCGTCACTTTCTGTCTGACTTAACAACCTTGTTGTATGCTACCAACGTTTGTTGGAAATCTCACATGTATAACACTTCAGACAGCGCAGACGGAGGCATGCATCTTAGAAGCCCTTCCCGACAAGTCTTTGACGTTCGATATCATAACGATCACAAAACTTTTGAGCAGTTTCGGCACCAACAAACTCGGTGATTTCGAAATGAAATACATTTATGATCCCAAAGCTGAAAAGGTGTTGCAACGGTATGAAAATTTATTTTACATCATTATTACTTCAAACGAAATATTATTGTTTTCCATATAATTGAATATGAAAATGATAATCGATTCAAGACATTTTTTAACTATGTAGGTAGCAGAAACGATTCTATCAATCATATGTCAGATTTTCCCTTAGCGGCATTGATGACTCGAACATTGATTTTCACTAACGTAACAGATAATAGTTACATACTCAATAGAAAACGTATCCAAGGTTACCTTGTCGATGCACTTGTCAGGTTTCAGAAAGAGCTCGCCGAACAGAGTAGACGGGTGAAATCTTTGGAAAAAACCCGCGAGTTCTCCTACAAATGGCTGGATCCTGAGATCGTTCCGAATGCTATCAGCATATAACCAGAATTGCCATCAACGTTACTGTAACATGACCGATATATTTGCCTGTGTATACACCCTGGACTGAAGTAATTACTATAACTGGTGTATTCCTGTTTAACCCCAAAGCACGTTTAAACTTTGAGAAATTATACATATTCGCATAACTTGGAATGAATTTTGTTTAAAGAGTGGTTGTTCAAAACATTTTACTACAAGAGTGATTTATTCATTATTTCTGTGTCATGTGACCTTTAACGTATTTCCCATACGATTTAAAGAATACATACCACAATATAATAAACATGTATGGTATAACTGATAACTGTGGTTTGTAATAGTGTCAAAATAGCCCTTGCAGTAACAAAAATATAATGTTTCTTTGTATAGCTCAAACTTAAATGACAACGAAATGTGTTTATGCATGCTTACCATACTCTGCTATTTCTTTCCACGTCATATATCTTATTCCTGTTGTTTGTTGTTTTGAAAGTTGAGATGCAAAGCCATATACATATTTAGTATTCATGACGTATAACAAGTTTAATATGTATCGAACGACGTTAACTTATACAGAAAGGCAGTATCTCGAGAAATACAGCAACAGGAACAGAGATACGTAATAGAATCTTATTTTATTCCATAATATGTTCTGCACTTATCGTTCATACTCTGACATGTACTTAGCATATGTTATATATTTTTATACATATACACATGTATAGACCATAGTTTATTTTGTTTTGTTGGACAATATTGTTAATGTATTAGTGACTTGGTTTATCAAAACAACATTGATTTGACCACTGATGGCTATGATGGTGGGTAATGTATTTTTGGATGTGTTTAAATTGTGTGATTTATCTGCAAGTATCTACATTTGTTCAATTTACCATGTCAATATCTTTTTGTATGTTGAAATATCATGAACATGTGTAACATCATACACTTACTTGATGAAACTGGCAGTCACAAATATAAATCAAAATGCTGGTGTTATAATTTTGTACGAAGTTAAAAGACAATATTACAATTCATTTCTTTCTTTCTGCTAATAAAGAACCAAATATTCGCTCTTGTTGATTTATTTTTTGAATTTGTAGACCAATCTAATCATATAATGATGTACAACTGAAACTTGTTGGTGTTTAAAAATATATAATACTTGTGTACAAAAAACAATGACAACAATTTGTATAAAGAGAAACTTTCATCAAAAATGATATGAAAAGGGAGGAAAATTAAGGAAATTAAATAATTTCACCTGCAACTCTTCACTTCTGTTAAAACAGATGTACTCTTTGACTTAATTTTCTGTTTCTACAAGGAAGGAAGCACCTCGAGATTGTACACGTAATAAAATAAATGACAATAAATCAGAAAAAGGTAGTCCTTTTTAAAAATTTAATAACATGAAATCAAATTGCAATACATTGCACCAGAGATACTGTCTATCATGTCTTAGTAGGCAATATTGGAAATGAAATTGTAATTTAAGTTACTACAACAAGCAAAGTGACCGTTGTTCTGCTTATCTAGCATATAACGTTATCATCATCACAAAATCAAAGTAATTCTCGTCCGCCATCGATTAAACAAGGATATTATAAAGCTTCCGAGAGTGAGTCACCAGTCTAAGGTAAGGGAGGTAAGACTATTTACCGCTATGTGATATGGACAAAGATACTTCAATTCAATCGTAATAGCATTATCTAAGTCTAGCACGTGTTTTTGCTGATCCATGAGTCCGGAAGATCCAATAAAATACAGACTCAAGATTAATCTTAAACAAAACATTTCAATCCATATTTGCAGTATTCGTAGTTTCAAAAACCCTCTGTTACGAATTAATTGTTCTGTTGCACCAGAGTTACTTCCCTTCGTTTCATTCATCAGATGTCATAGTGATATGCTTGCCAGCCAATAGAGGCCGAGGATTACCGATGATAGATTGTATGGCAGGATGCATGTCTTTCCTAATACACATTTTTATATCAATTTCTACTAAGGAAAAAGACGGAAATGTCTGTACAGCAATGTATCTACAGCCACGAACAGAGCATTGCAAAAGGTAACTGAGTCTAAAATGATTCATTCATTTTTATCAAACGTTATCAAAGCGGAAGCGAGCAGTAAATTTCAGTCGTAAATTTACTTGTAAAATGAACTGATAAGGGCGCTAGGGTACACAGACATAATTGGCAAATGTTTTTATAAAGGCAATGTTTTAAGTACTACCTTCCGGTTAATAAAAGTTTTCTGATAGAAAGATTAATTACATATTGTTAATAAAAGAGTTTCTTTAAAGGATATAATTGTTAGATGGTTCCTCCCATGTAGTCTATGAGCATATATAATATGTAATTGTACGCGCAGATAACATATCTTGTGGATTCCTTGCAAAATAATTTAGGGTAGTTTTAAAGCTTACAACTTTAACTTTAAAGAGAAAATGTTAGTGCTTATAACGAAATAATAATAATATAACGAAACATAGGGACACAAGTAGAAGATTTCTATATTGAATGGAAAACAATAAAAAGTAAAACTATTTGACAAAATATTAAACAGCAAGTATATAAAGAAACAAATGTAATGTGCTTTTTATAGAGACATTTTTCACAGATGAAGCTATAAAAATGGAATATTATATTTTTTTTACAAAGACACGCAATGGTATTTTTATCATATTAGAACTGTTTACAATTTTCAGAACAATAAGACTCATCTGTCCTTAACTTATGTTTATTTTGTAAGCATACAATGTTCATAATAACACTTTCTCCATCCCTGTTGTTACTGTCTTTAAGAAGCAAAACCCTAAAAAATTATCGACTACATATATATTAGGATATATTATAAGAATCTGATACGGTGATGTGCTGATAAAAGCATGTTTTTCTCTTGTTTTAAAATATCTGCTGACATAAGTCGTGACTATTGAGATTAAGAATATTTAAAGTACTTCTATCAAGTAGGTTTGAATGACGAGCAAATTTTATACTTTACGCAGTATATATTGAAATGTTAAAAAGTCATTTAACATGCATTGTCATGCACATAACGCAGAAAAAAAAAACAAAAACAAAGAGCTTCATTGAAGATACTCGGCGTTCCGGATATTTACTGACTTGAGATAAAACCTCACGAGTTCAATTCAAACATGTTGAACATTGTTTCACCTAACAAAGGTTTTCCAAACCCGGATCTCTGTGGTTTAGGGGCATTCCAAACATTAATCTCAAAGCAGTTCTCTTGTCAATTATTTATCAACTTTACAAAACTAAAATTTACAAATGATTTACAAATACAAAGCTATTGTTATAACCTCATTTCCCTGTCAAGTACGATATACAAGAGCTTGGAGTACGGTAACACGTCATTAGAAATGGCTTTTTTAATATTATGTTTTCGCCACAAATGATCTTATACATTTTGGTCGATGAAGTTGATATCAGCGAAACACGACAATCATGCTTTAAACAAAAAAATTCAATTAAGTAATCACTTGGTTACATTGAAGCGAGCAGATACGACAAATGTATAAATGATATCTATGTATGGATTCAGAATTTCAGGGAACGACAAGAAAATACCAAGTAGTAAACGTAACCATAATCCAAACTCAAAATTCAATAAGTCATTTCTTCTGCTTCATCGGCGACACACGCCATGTAAATCTAGGTCCGTCCTAGTAAGTAATGTAACGTTCTCCAGTGAGATAAAGAGAGCAAACGGTACTTTTTCAAGCAAAATGTTATAAATAGATTATTGAGGTTGGTATAATACGAGAAAGCATTTCGAGTAAAATTCCTCTATTCCTCCGTAATTATCATATGGGTGATATCAATATTTTTAATACTAAAACCAGTATTTATTGATATATATATATCAACGATCGATACAGGAAGGAATCAATTGGAAATGATGTTTGAAATATTGATGGTGTTTGAGTAATCAGAAATATCACACATTGAAAAAAGAAGAAAATATTCTCATAAATAAGTGGTTTGTGTAAGATAAGATTTCAAAACCCGTTTCAGCCATGATCACGTGAATTTTCCAAGGTACTCCGGTTCTCCAACTCTTTCGCATACTTTTATCTGAGCCAAGAAGTTTGATAAATGTATGTTGACATGACATGTTTTATAACTGATGCCAAATCAATTAAGTTTATATTATTATGAATTGGAAAATGCACAGATTTAAAATATGCCAGTCATTGTCTCTGAACTTTTTCAATTTCAATCTTTCAAAAGAAATACTAGCTAATCACGCTTCATTGTTGTGATCAGTTCGACTGCTCCGATATCAGACCTCCACCATTTATATTAGACTCCTAAACTTCACAAGAATCCTCCATATAAACAACGTTTCATTTCTGGTTCGTCTAGCTGTACAACCAAACCTTTGTCTAAGTTATTAGCTACCATTCTAAGCACTATAGAATCTGGATTAGAGTCTTATTGTGATACTGTTTATTCAAGAAATGAATAGCATGTAGATTTAAAAGAAATCCAAAGAGCTTTCGACCAATCTTCAACACCCTTAAAAAAAAAAAAAAAAAAAAATTTGAGAACATTTATTGTTTCCACTCTGTGTACCACCATACTCCATTCTAGACTGAAAGAACACTTTCAGTTTTTAATTATGAGAGTTTTCTCTACCAAGAGAGCTTAAAGGCGGTACAAAGTTGTGAAGCATATTTCGTTAAAATCTCTGATCCTAACCACTTCTGGGGCCAGGAGATAAATGCCCAGAGACCATGAAATAAGGCTCCCCCTCCTTTACTACCATCTCCCCCGCGCTGTCTGTGAAAAGCTCTAATTTATCACTGTCTACCCATGTCTTCTCTGGAAAGCTACAGTAACCATTGAACAGATCTAGAAACACTAGCCAAGTTTGTATGTCCTGTCTCATCCCCTGGGTTACCCTCACAAAATGGTGACTCTTTTTAACCCCGGACATAGCACTGTAGAATCGACGAATAAAAGCACGTGCAGGAGGAATTGCCCTAATGTAAAAATTAAGGGCCCCAGTCAGTGGCTGGAGTTTTCTACAGGTGACCTTCTTTTTGTCATTGACCTCCCCTAACACCTCCCTCAGAGTTTCAAGTTTATCCTGTGGGATTTTTATTTGCATTTTGATAGAATCTATTTCTAACTTTAAAAATATTAAAATGGGTGTCGGAAATACTATTTTATCAACTGCGACAGGAACCCCTAATTCAGTACACACATGCTCAAAAACCTCCATAAGATGGAGGCAATCTGTAGAGCTCTCCTTACCCGCGAGGAAGAAATCATCTAAATAGTGGTCTAGCCCCAGTATTTCACCTTTCTGGCCCTTTGAAACTTTTTGTCTATCTATTCTAACGCAGATGAAAATTTCTCAAACATGGCACACGAAATGGCACAACCCATAGGTAAGCACTTGTCTATAAATATATGATCACCAAGTTTGAAACTCAGTAAGTCATAATCCTGTGGGGAAACTGGCAATAACCTAAAGGCAGATTTGATGTCCATTTTTTCATTAAAGCAGACTTAAACTTCTGACAAAAATGAGGTCTCCATTAGACAAACGGAATTAATTGAGATGATTAACTCCCATTAATGATGGTTTAAGGAGTAAAAACCTATTATAATTTTGGGTAAGTGTACAAGTTAAGACTGTTCGTCCTCAATTTCTATTGATCGTTGAATCGTTATGTGTGTTGAGTTTATTTTTTGCGAAGCTCAACAAACACCTTATACACTTGACAATTAGACCCCATCCAACACCTTCCAACCAGACCAAAAGCAGAAAGGTCGTGATTTACAAAGGACGGTTTTGAATGAAATTCGACCAAACACTTTGCAAAGCATTTATTTTCGTTAATCATATGGATAATCACAAATATAAAATGGCTTAAGAATAAACAAGAGTGCTGTTTGTGAGAAAACTGAACACCAAAGACATATTGTCCATTAGATAGTATCCAGGTATTTTGATACTTTTAAGCGGGGTTAATTTGTCTAGAATTGATTTTAACAATTTCATTTTGAAATGACAAATGATTTTTCAAACGCGCTTTCATCTTATGTTCATATTGAATCTCAAAATTGTAATTAGGTCATCATTGGGTTTTCTATTTTTTCGTCAATAATATCATTATTTTATAAAATATCTCGTTTTTAAAACATTTAAAGACTCTAATTATGATTTGATATGTAAGGCTGACAATGTTGTATATGGCACTTACAGCAGGTGTTATTCAAATGAAATCATACACATAAAGCACAGAATATTAATAACTTAAAACACCCTGTCACTTCAACGGTTGGGTATCTAGTAAACTGAACTGTGTTTTCCAATACAATGTACACGTATATATATATATATATGTATCATCAATATCAAATAACAAAAAAGAGAGAAACTTTGTAATATTGATACAGAGAATTAACAACTTATGTTATTCGATGATAGATTTATAGATTGTAACGCAATATGAAAAGCAGTACAAGTTACATTCACCAATACAGACTTTTCTTCAGTTGGAACAAAAGTGTGTACATACAAATGTATGATGTCGTCATACTTACAATTAAACAGTTTATTTTTACAAACATGTTCACAATTAAATAGTTTATTTTTTACAAACATGTTCACCTTTGATGACACACACACACACGTAAACTATCTTACCTAATTGTCATTTTGCATGAGATAATTGATACATAATAAAACTTCAGTTATATTATAAGGACACTTGATAATGAATGTAACCCTTTCCAGAGTCATATTTTAGATACTAATGGAGTTCGGAACCTCCTCCGGATCTAACCAAGGGTAACGTGGGTTTCGCTTGTTATTCTTTTCTTTGATTACCAGAGATAACTTTTTTAGGTCGTGTCGAAATCTGGAAAGAAAAGGATACCATGAATTGTTAAAACAACGTGTTAATACAATCAAAGTGACTGGATGGGCTTGTTGAACGTTTGAGAATTGTAGACATAGTTTAATAAATCTGAATCTTTTGAATATCCTGATAAAACCAAAAGACAAAAGATACAAAAAAAAAAGAAAAAAAAATAATAAAAATAAAAAACATGAGTTGTTATTTTCAACGCTTCAAGAAAACGAGATCGACGTTTCCTTTCTTACTTTACTGTGCAACATGATCTTGCCCTTCAAATATACCGTTTAATATATTCAAAACTCGTAAGTCGGTTATTGCAGAAACAAAAAGTAGATACTAAGTCATGTGTTTGGCTAATCTTGTCCTTCAATGTTTACGAGTATCAGTGGAATATGATGATATAGAGACTCACTCTTCAACAACTGCAAGAGCTGCAGGGTCAAATACATAGTTGACCTCAAAGTCGCCAAGGCTGTTGGTTCCCTTGTCGCTGAGAATCTTGGTTATGATCATGGTGTCAAGTGTGGTAGCTTTATCCGGCAAGGCATCCATAACACATTCTTCTGTCAAAGGCGACTACAAGGAAATATGAAAATGTCATTAATTTCAAACAGTTTTAATTCAGAACTTAAAGTTTTAGTGTTTGATTTATGATTCTTTAATTCTAAAAATTGTAACTATTGATAATTGTATCTTAAATTATTATTTTGAGTTATTGTCAGATATTCTAAATTTCAATGAAACTGTTATTCTAGTGATACCATTCTCCCATCTAACAACACCAACCTTGTCCGTGGGGGGTTTGCCGTTCATTGAGGCTGGGTAGGCCGGGGGGAAGCCATATTGGTCATACTGAGCGAAATTTGTCGCAGCATGAGCGACGCTGCAGGTAAAAATGACGCTGGTCAAGCATACGGTGAGCTGATCTACAGTCTCGAACTTGCCATCTCCCGGTACACCCTGCATATGAATAAGTTTTGCTCATTATTATCAAACACATGAGTGAAACGAAAAAAAATGCAATGTTATTTTCATGTCAATTTTATTCATTACTTTATACCATCATTTACTTGAGTAGGCAAAATGTGTATGACATGTTTTGTTTTGTAGTTCCAAAAATTATTTCAAGAATCACTCTCTTTAAACGATTCACAAATCTTACAAATTAATAAAAAAAAAACCTTGAATCCTTGACCCGATATTTTCAAATGAACTGATTATGTTTTTTTGATGTTTTTTAAGTCTCATTGACGTATACCTTAAGTCCACATCCTCCATCCGGTATCGGTTTCACGAGCTCGTGGCCCCAGTCTTTGATTTCCTTGTCACCCTGTACCTTTTGTGGTGAATCTGGAGCATATAATATGATGTCAAGATTATATTCGAAACATCCTAGTTACATAATTAACACCGAAACTGGATACGTTATAGAATCGGATATCAAATCTCTATAAACAAATTTTGTAACATTAGAATATGCACCTGGCCCCACTTGTATAAAAGATCTCAACTTGAGATTTCCTCAAGCCCAGATTTTCCTCAGCTAATATCTCCTTGAAAATATCGTGTATGAAAATTCCTCAAGGAATTTCAGGACATCCTAACCGAGGACTTCCTCCTGTTCCTTGAGAAAATTTTATACAAGCCGTTTTTGAGGAGATATTATCTGAGGAAAATCTCGACTTGAGGAAATCTCAAGTTGAGATGTGTTATACAAGTGGGGCCTGGTAAGTAATATTTTTGTTCTCAGGTAGGAATCCTTCAGTATAGCTGACTATATCACATATGTAAATACTTCGTCGTCATGGATGTTAAATGGTGTGTAACGTGAAGACGTGTCCTTTATGTTATCTATTTTACTGAGGAAATATATTTACTGAACGATAACAAATCTACATCCGTACAAATTCGAGTTATACATTTAAAAATAACAAAAAGGGGATCATCACCGGTCCTTTAATGCAAGCTCCCAAAAACACATCACATAATGTATACAAAATATCATCAGATATCTTCGTAAAGCTTGGCTTGATTTTGCCTAAATATGATTGCGCCATCGATTATTCTTACACCTAGGTGCAATATCTTGGAATTTTCATAGTTTTAGAGTTCATATCTAATGTATGATGTTTTATCTATAGCTAATAGATAGTTTTCATTTCTCGTTACAATGGTTTTTATTATATCAATGTTTATCAAATACCAAAGCTGTATCATTAGCATGAAAGAAGTTGACTACCATATTTTCTGTAACGCGAACCATAGAATATTTTCGTGCATTTCTGCGTTAATATTGGCATTTACAAACAAGTACATATTGAATTAAGTAGACTATGATTTCATTTGTATTGCCGACGAGAAAATACGTCATATGGAACGGGTGATGTGACTGTTTATCGTCACCATGTCTACCATAGGATACAATTTATTTTACTTTAAAACACACTTCTGAATATTTATGTGTAGTGGCAATGCCTTGTAAAATGAAAAATCGTCGCATACAATATAACCATGTTGAAGTAGGAGTAAATAAGTATTACAAAAGAAAACTAGTCGCAATATTTTGTGGTTGTATTGATCTTAATACTAATACACAAAAAAGATGATTTGAAATCTTGTCTGTCCGTCCGTCCGTATGTATGTATGTATGTATGTATGTATGTATGTATGTATGTATGTCCAGCAACCTTGCATTTAATTTTATGCGTAACGTTACTCTTGCAGTTTACTTAATAGTCCACGACCCGGTTAATTTTTCATGTGTCGACAACTGACAGACACATTTACAAAATAGGGTCTCTAGATATATGTCATCCAATGTAATTTTAATGAAATTAACCCCGGTATGTGGGGAGGGAGTTGAGTTTGATATAGCATTATAATGAATCATTAATCGTAATATTTTATAAAATACACATTCAAGTTGATATGAAATGTTGTTTTGCATTATAAACAAGTCACTTAAAATTAACCATGGTAATAATTTTGTGTTGATTTTGACAAAGAGTGAAGAGAATATGTGACAACAGTTTATAATCCGAGACGACGGCAGTTTAATGTGCTGATAAGTTTTAAAAACATTTCACGCTTGGTTACATCGGCAGTGTAGGCAATAGTCGGTTTGTATGCATTATGTGTTGAATTAGGTCAGAGCAATGACCCTTTGTTGTCAACATATTTAACGTTTCTGTGCCAAAAGTGACGTGTAATTTGAAATGAGAGTCAGTGAAACTGGATTTTTTTTCATACAAACACCTTTGCAAACCACCCAAGGAACTGTCACCTCGCCATTGATAAAGTTAAATGATCAAATGTGAAAATAAATGATGATAAAACGCTACCACCTAAAGACCCAAAAAAGGGAGGTGAATACTGGCAGGTGACAGTGACGTGAGCAAGCACAGAAAACTACTATAAGACTTATTGACTGTCTTATCGAATAGGTTACAAGCTGGAATACATATTAGATCAGGTTGATGGTATTGCCGATATGATATTGATGTTAGCTTTAAAGTCAAGGAGGTATATACGATAAGAGTGGTCGATTAATTCCTTTTCATACGATAACCTATGGTAGAAATTGGATGTGTAAATTTGTTGATTTAAGCTTAAATGAAAACGAGTCAGACAGAGCAGGAATGTTTGTCTCCGGGTATGCTACTATAGCTTGACCTTCAATTCAAGAAACGACTGTAAATTATATATTTACACTTTGTATCATCAAGAAAAGCTAACGCTGAAAACTTAACATATTCTAAGGGGGCATCTTTCATGGCTTGGCTTTGCTGTAAAAAGGCAATTTGAGATAAATCAATTTTCGCCGTTCTCAGGAACTCAAAGAGCTTACAATTTCAGAAGAACTTTGATAGGGGACATGGCTTAAAAAACTCATTGATTTCGCGATGTCTAATTCTCACATAACGATCTTTGCAAAACGGCTTCCAACACCCATGAATCAGAATTGTTTGCCTTTCATATGCATGTACATTGTAATCGATATTAATTATCATCCTGATACAGTCATACAGCAATCCCCATATGTTGGCAAGTTGCCTTTTTATTTCAGGATAAATCGTACTGTGTTTTAGGTATATTGACTGATAGATCAAAACGTGGGTGAATATTCTCCGCGTCTATGAAAACGATATGCAAACCTGCTTTTCATCTATCAGTCAATAGCTCTGTAACAAAACTGCCCCAAAAGTTGATGATAAATAAACTATTGTCAGAAAAATGTGTTGTTCTATTTTGGTTAGGTCAATTTCGTTACACAGACACATGACCAATAACAATACTTTTCAGGATAACGAAAGAAAATCGTCAATCAATTTCCATGCGGAAATTTGGGCTTTGACCTTCGATCTTTAAAGTTAGTCAAAATCGTCCGTAATAAATTCCACGCGGAAATGTATGCGCTAAATGAGTTTGAGGCATCAATAGATACGCCTCACAAACACGTTATTATTACGACTCGTGAAATTGAAACATCATTTTGACCAAAGCAGAGTTTCAAACCGGAAGACATGGCACTACTCGACGACGAGTAAGCCATTAATTGTCATGGATATCGTGTCTCAGACGCATACACGTACTCAAGAAATCTGAGTCATTTCTTAGTCCGATAATCCTATAAATTACGACTGACTTAGAATGAAATTATTTTTAATGTTGTCAATTAAGGACGCCGTTTTTTCTTGTAAACGTTGACAGACCACTGTTACATATAACATCATTAAATATGACGTCCAAATTGTCTTAATCTTTAACCGAATGAAATTGCATGCACTTATATGTTTACCATATGAAGAAATAACGTGACACATTACCTACCGTAATAAAGTGCTAAATAATTGCTGACATATTTCTTGATGATGTCGTAAAGTGGTAAGGCATCCTCCCGATAGTAGTACCCAGGTAAAACGTTTTCATCCAAAACCTTTAAAGGTAAATACTAATTAATATACATCATTTATAACAGAACTCACACCATTATTTCATCTTATACCTGTAAATGTAAAAACAAATCAGCATATATCATTAACATCATTTTATAACTTGTAGTTTGCTTCTGATTGTGTTAGCTAGTTTTAAGTTGGTTTTTTTTTTCTTTTCCATGGCAATGTATATCACATTTTTTTCATGAAACCAACACACTAGTAAAAATATATAACTCACGCCTCTGTTTTCAAGGTCTTTCCGCAAGGCTCCTTGAACATCCATTCTCCATGCGCATGCTCTGTAACACAACAAATCAATTAAATCAATGTAACGTATCAGAGCTCAATCAATCACAAAATTAACGTTATGCATAGTTATGATTATGCCGCTAAAATTAATCACCGAGCATCGAACTTGTCGATGACAGGTCTACATATCGATTTAAACCAAAAATGATTGTTTTACGTACCCTCTCCTGACAATTTCAAACATCCCAAGACGACCGATTGACATCGCTTTGTCCACCCAGCCTCCGGGGCTTACAAGCTTCCCGAGCGCTCGTCTAAAACATCAAAAGATTCAATAAGTAAACCTGAGATGCGGAGAGCACTGGAATACAGTAATTCATATCTTTTAGCAATGGATCGGCACAGAACACAAAACCTTACCTAATTATATGTGACGGAGCCACTACTTTGCCACTATTTACATCTCCAAAATATACACAGTTATTTACATCTAATATGTACAAAACGCCCATGGCTCCTCCACGACCCTCAGATTGTGATCACATCTTTACTCTCCGGTGTCTGTACCACAATTTCCCTCTCAGAACCCTATCAACCTTTCATATATTCGTTCACCTCCACGACCTCACACCATACTCTGTTCCCACGACACTGTTTACTTTCAACAATCACTCCTTCTCTCTGTAATTTCCTCTGTAATTTAATTAACTGTCAACCTCACGAATCAAGTCACGTTACTTTCTAAATAATCACCTTACTAATCTTTGAAATAATAAACAACCACCTCACACACTGGACACTCTCTGATTTACACAGCTGACACTGCTCTCTTATCAGCCAATTAGTTTGATGCATCAGACACTCTAGTTGTCCCTCTAACCAAACGTATTTCCCCCTACTCTCAAAGAAAACACTCTTTCACATATAGATTGTTTTGGTGACACATACGTGTTAATAGCCAGCAGGTAAAGTGAGTGTGGAGCGAGGAGCTTAAAGACTGGATGTGATTTGGACAAGTTTCGGTTTGTTACCACTGTCACACCTTCCATCATCAAGTGTGTGGAACCTGTACGAATATAAAGATCGTTCACTGGTAAAAAAAAATTAAATAATTTCAGAAAAATGAAAGCTGCAGTTATATATATAGGGAATATGTTGATGCAATACAAGTTTGATTTGTTTTTTACACTCGACGACAGGAAACATGCACAGTGTTGAGCCATCTTATACATACCAAGATGAGTGAAAGCCTGGTGATAGGAACAGTCAGCATTGTTAAACCATAGTTTGGCTGTTAGCCAGGTGTATTCTGGGTCTGTAGGTAAAAACACCTGTCAACATAATGACGTAACAAGATGAAATAGATCCAATGACTCAATACCTGGTACGATTTATTTACGTTTCCTATTGTACATACAAAATGTTAATTATGTGAGGAATGATGAGTGTAGACATTCTCTTTAACCATGATACAGCCACTACAGAAGAAAATGCATTACCGGGTTGTCCTTTCCTGGTTTCTGTTTCAACTGTATGGCAATTGGCATCAACTTTCCTTCTTTGTTGACAAAAAACAGCCCGATTGGAGCACAGATCTGTGGCGATAAGAAGTGAATTTAGGATGCTGGGTGGATAAAGCATGGGAATGAAGTTGAAAGGAATAATTTAAAGAACAAAAACAAATGTTAACCTTATGATTATTTGGGATACACTCCGAACCAGCGCTAATATTCTTGTAAATGTAGACGTGGTAAATCAGACTCCGGCAAAACTACATAATATGTATTTCTCAGTTTCTTTCGCTGCCTTTCATCCTTTTTTTATCTCCCTCTAGAATGCTAACGTTTTGCAAAAATCTTTACTTGTTACCGACGAATTCTATCTAAAATACTGTACCATTCTGCCGCCTGAACATGGTACGCCTTCAAGAACCTTGTAGTCGATGTAGAAGAGACGCTTGGCATCCATTGCTTGCTGAAGAGTGAGGTCCTCAATGATTGACTTGACCATGTCGTCAGTTACTGCCAAACTGATTCATATGAACAACACAAAATGTTATCACACACAGTTTGCCTATTTGTTCTTGAACATACACGAAAATAAAATACCATACTATCGATTTTTTACATATATTACTTTAGGGATGAATGGGAGACTTAGTGTAAAATACTAATTTCAACATAAGAGCTGCGTGTAGGCTGATGTTCCTTAAAACCTTCACTCAACATTTGAGTATTGTACAATATTGTATGAAAGTTTTGTGAAAACGTGACATTTACAACATTTTATCAACATACCAGAATGTATACAATAGATCATGCTTACTTTGCTGGGATCGACGTACAGAGACGTATGACGGAGTGGTTGACCTTCGTCAGTCTCTGACTTCCAAAATATTCATCCTCCCGCCAGTGGGCTGCGCTCTGAGTAACATTATATTACATGTTAAGAGTAGCAACCGACAGCAAAAATGGCTTGGCCCATTAATCTTCAAATTTTTTAAAGTTACAGCATGAAAAATGTATTATCTCAAGACATTTCGGAAAAACGAATCACTGTTGTTTATATCTGTATAGAACCCTGTCTCACACACCATAATAAAGAAAAACAGAATAAATAAAAAAACGTGAAAATTTAGCTTACGTCGGGTATAAAGAGACTTTCCTTGGTGTAAACATTTGTGAGGTCTTCAAGATTTTTCCATGTACCAGTGAAGTATTCCTGTATCTTCGAAGTCAGTTTCAGAGATAATTTCTTGCTTGTAATGTCCCACTACAAACCAAACACTCAAGATGTTGAAGAAGTAGGATCAAATAGCTCCATTGATTAACACAACATCAAGTTATTTATAAATGGAAGTTGGTAACAAAACAATCTAACTGAATACAGAATGTGCATATCATATATACTGAAATTTCGCTTCAAGTCCCCCTCAACATGAAGACCAGCCATCATTAAGACTATATCATTTCCGTTCAAAAGACATTCTTTATATGTCTTTGTATTGTTTGTTTCGCCATGCTAACAACCTTACAATCAAGGCCATCTTTAAAAAGTCATAAAGACCAGTTTTGACACAATTTCACTCGATGCCTTTTCTACTATGTGTATCTGTCATGTGTCATAGCAGTTACAGTTGTTTCTATACCTAGTGTGTCACACTGGCTATACATGAATAGTTATTTTGTGTTTAATGTTATAGAAACTACATACCAATCAGATAACGTCGTGTAAAACTTTGCTAACAGATGATAAAAAATTACGATGAATATAGGACCAGAAGTTCCTGAAGGGGAAGACATGGAAAGTATTCTGCTTTATCGTCATCAACTGTACTGCTATTCCAGGTCAAAGAAATATCAAGGTCACAAAAATGTCTTTATTCATTATGTATATATTGATTTGTATGTGACTTTAACTTTCATTTCTAAGGACTGTTACAACAATGATATGCCTTTTTAAAACAATATTTAAGGATTACTATTCAGTAAAGCTGCAGAGAGTCTAGGAGGTAATAATATCTGTGACATTGCCTGCATTTAATGCTTAAGACTCAAAACATGATCCAATAATGTTGTTATAATTAATCTACGGACTTACTACGTACTTTATAATCCTCAGAAAAGTTTTCATCCTCAGGTAGATTTTTCACCTGAAGAAAATAAAAAACGCATTTTATTGCAAATACAAAAGTATATCTAAACGACCAGTAAATGTAAATAGAGGAAATAACAAAAATGTTCGTTCCAACGGTCTTATAATTTTGTGTCAGTTTCTATCTACAGATATTAAGCCTTTGGTTGGTATTTAGAAAGTGAACAGCATTTGAATGTCCGGCTCTATAATTTACCTGCCCGGGAAGTCCTGGAGCCTGCGCTTCGATTTCATACAATTTCTTCATTTCTGCAAGTTCCATCTCGCGTTGTTCTTTGAATGGATCAGTGTCAGACGGAAGTGACGTATCAAGATGACGTATGCGATAGTGGTAATCCGCTTTGATCCATCGGTAGATGGGGAAAATGTACTTTCGCCCGGATGTTCTGCACAACACTTCAACTATATTCAGGAACCATTCGTCTTTCAGACCAGCAGAATCTCGCCACAGCTCAATGTTGTCGATGTTCTCAACTACAGTCGCGGTCACCGAAAATGTGTCCTTTTGTCCTCTTTCAAAGTCGTTTCTGAAGAAGTTATCCAAGGTGATGACGTCAGTGCTCGCTTTTCCTTCTCCACCATGGAATCGAACAGATACATTTGCATCCGTCCCAGCATTTTTCTTGTCTCCGGTGGTAACCCACACAGTATGAGTGGTGGACGCCATTCTGATAACATAATTAGAAACAAATTAAGATGGTTATGTCTACCTCGAAATAAATAAAATAAATATGGTGAGATAGACGACGAGTTAAGTTAACAACCGAGTTAAATATGGGTAAAAAGTATACAAGTATATATAGATAGACAGTGACGTGCTGTTGAATACCATTCATACATCACAAGTATAGCAAATACCCATGTTCTTCTAGATTGCTAATCTCGATAGAAAATATAGATATATTTTGTCATAAGAGTGAATCTATCAAATTTTCTTAATACTTTAGAGAGAAAAAAATTACGTATACAAATAAAAAAAGGGCATGTGTTGGGGAAAAATAGAAAATATTAGCGCGTTCCTTGACGTCGGATAGTTTGACGTTGTTCTCGACACTGTTATTTACTGCTATCTAGTTAAAATTGTTTATCAAACTATTTCTGTTTATCAACAAGAGAAAACTCGATCTGCAGTCGGAAAAGATTTCAGGTAAAACCAGTTTATTCAATCTTTGCTTGATTGCGTCCGAACAGGAAAATTGGTGAATTTCTAGAAATCACCTCTCTGATTGGTCAAAACTACAACTTATCATCACTGGAACAATTGTACACACACACACACACACACACACACACACACACACACACACACACACACACACACATATATACACACACACATACATATATATATATATATATATACATAGGTTTAACTCTGATTAATCCTTTAATTTCAATGACAAAGATGTGATAATATGCGGAATATATATATCATTACGACAGTTATCTAAGGCACCATTATACATCTAAATATGAAATATTAAGAAATAAGGAGATATTGAGAAACCATTAGGGAACATTCGAGGTTCCACACAAATGACACTTGGTTTGTTCCGTGACAGTAGATGATGTACCTAGATATCGTTCAGAGAAAGGGGAAGCCTGTTGGAAAAGGAGATCAATCCTTATCATATGTTTACTACTGATCATACCGTTTTTGTATATGATAAGTTTAAAATTGACATTAGCCCGAGTGATGTCAAACCCCATGAAGTAATATCACAAACCCTGAAGTGATATCACACACCCTCAATTGATATCACACACAATGAAGTGATATTACACACCCTGAAGTAATATCACACCCCTGAAGTGATATCACACACCCTAAAGTACACACCCTGAAGTGATATCACACACCCTGAAGTGATATCTCACCCCATGAAGTGATATCACACCCTGAAGTGATATCACACACCCTGAAGTGATATCACACCCTGAAGTGATATCTCACCCCATGAAGTGATATCACACCCTGAAGTGATATCACACCCTGAAGTGATATCACACCCTGAAGTTTTATCACACCCTGAAGAAATATCACACCCTGAAGAAATATCACACCCCCTGAAGTAGCACAATACATGATCACACACCCTTAAGTGATATCACACCATTAATTGATTTCACACACCCTTAAGTGATATCACACCCTTAAGTGATATCACACACCCTGAAGTGATATCACACACCCGTGATGTTATATCACACCCCTGAAGTGATATCACACACCCTGAAGTGATATCACACACCCTGAAGTGATATCACACACCCTGAAGTGATATCACACACCCTGAAGTGATATCTCACCCCATGAAGTGATATCACACCCTGAAGTGATATCACACCCTGAAGTGATATCACACCCTGAAGTGATATCACACCCATGAAATTTTATCACACCCTGAAGAAATATCACACCCCCTGAAGTAATACCACACCCCTGAAGTGATATCATACCCTGAAGTGATATCACACCCATTGAATGTGTTATCCCACCATGACATGATATCACACACCCTTAAGTGATATCACACACCTTAAAAGTGTGAATTCCATATTTTGCCGCCATTATTAAAAAATTTCCAAGTTGGTTTCCCTTATTATTGATACAACAACAGCTAAGTATGGCGACTTTGACAAATGATAGCAAGGAATTTATAGAATTTACGTCAAGATTTGTCGACTTGGATGAGCTGAGTGGTTATTTTGCTTAAAAAAATATACAAGTATATATATATATATATATGTATGTATATGACCATTTTGATAAAACACCCCTAATCAGCCATGATGACCGCCCTCGCGCGCCTTCAGCCCTCTGGCTGATATCATGACTCTCGGGCTGATATGGGATGTGATAACAATCTAATTTTAATATATGACAACGGTGACACTGTCAATTCTATCAGACGGATCTGTAAATACTATCGTCAAAATAGCGGTCCCTCCGAAATTACAACGTGAATCTGTCATCGCTTCAATCCTTCGTGCTGCATTATTTTATTTTGATAAATATCGGGGTCCAACACTTATCCATCTCATTACGGCAATTAGCGTTGCGATGCAGCATTACTGAAAGTGTAAAATGTCAGAGCTATATTTCTGAGGGTCCTCACCACCTGTTAGCAAATATACCACGTTTTGAGGAGAAAAGTGAGGTCAGTAGAGTATTTGGCGGTAGTTTGGTCTGTTTAACTTTTTATAACTTAAAAAATCAAAATTCTAAAACAACTTGGAACTTGTGTAAATAAATCCCCTATAATAGTCTCTTGGTATAAACAGTGGGCTTTACCGTGTAGATAATATCGTAACTCTCTTCTGGAGAAAATTATCCTACCCTTAAATCTCGAAAACAAGCCGATCTTAAAAACATAAGCCTTTTCTGAAAATAAGCATGTAGTTTCTTGCATGAATAAACCTTAATTTGCTTAGTATTTCAGAAATTAAATCTTATTTACATATTTTATGTATTTTTATGACGTCAAACTCCTGTGTGGGATTTTAGCGTCATTCCGGATCCGGAGAATGACATTTGTGAACTTTTGCCGAGTTTATGCCTGATATGCTTGCTTAGGTAATTGTTTATATGACCAACCTGTCGACGGTTGATGGAAATCTTGTGATAAAGAGCGTGCAGTCTAGCTAATACTTGTTATACAACCGTACCATGTGCATGTAGATGTAAACACAGAGATTGCATGTGGTCGGTATTTCTTTATATTTCAAATTACGCTTTGAAACAACATTCTTTGTAGATTTAATGATCTCATGCTCTCTCCATATCATAACATCGAAGTAATGGGCATTTATATTATATCAATGCTATCTGACTCGTGTAGGTTAAAACAAAAACGAATACATCATATGATTTCTACAAAGGGCTCGATACAAGGGGTCAGTTTACAACAAGCAAATAGTGATAGTAAACTTCAGACCTGTAAACACAACACATAAACAACACTTATGTATTGACCTGTAGACACAACATGTAAACAGTACTTATGTATTGACCTGTAGACACAACATGTAAACAGTACTTATGTATTGTCCTGTAGACACTTCACATAAACAGCACTTATGTATTGACCTGTAGACACAACACGTAAACAACACTTATTTATTGACCTGTATACACAACACGTAAACAACACTTATGTATTGTCCTGTAGACACAACACGTAAACAACACTTATGTATTGACCTGTAGACACAACACATAAACAGGACTGATGTATGGACCTGTAGACACAACACATAAACAGTACTTATGTATTGACCTGTAAACACAACACATAAACAGTTCTTATGTATTGACCTGTAGACACACCACATAAACAGTACTTATGTATTGACCTGTAGACACACCACATAAACAGTACTTATGTATTGACCTGTAGACACAACACATAAACAGTACTTATGTATTGACCACCTGTAGACACAACACAAAAACAGTACTTATGTGTTGACCTGTAGACACAACACATAAACAGTACTTATGTATTGACCTGTAGACACAACACATAAACAATGTTAGCGTGCTACTCACCTCGTAAACATCTTTACTGACGTTTTGGCACAACGTGTAAAATGTCCCGGTGTATTACTGACGTTTAAACACACCACGTCAACAGTCACAGTGTATTACTGATGTTCAAACACACCACATTAACAGTCACAGTGTATTACTGATGTTTAAACACACCACGTTAACAGTCAGTGTAATACTGACGTTAGGCACACCCCACAACACTAAAGCTGTTTTCAAGTACTAAGCTTGTCGGCAGGAATTATTTTATGTTCAGTCAGGCATATGTCCATTAATAATTAATGTGTCTAAGTATCACGGGTTCTGTTTCAATCACCAAGACGTCAAAGGCAACCATAATTTCTAGTTATGCTGGAAACACTGGAGAGATAATGCAGGACTGATAATCCACAAAAGAGTTCTTCTGTGGCTACAAAACACTAATAGCAAACACAAAAAACATGAAAAATTTTCACTGCACAGTAGAGCAGAAACGTGCTCGAAATATCAAAGGAAGGACGTTTGTTATATGTTTTTTCTTGTTGAAGCCTTAAAAACGAACAGAACCTGCATTGATAATAAGCTCTGATATCGGAGCTGTAGCTTCCGTATGGTGAAAGCCCTCGAGACGCCATATCCCCATAAATATATATGAAGTATTGCTGATTAATGGTTATAAACTATTGATATGTTCGTTAGGGTATGAAATTGAAATGGATGTTTTTAGATTGCAGACGTAACGTAATTACAGAAAGACATGGAATGTTTAGCGATTCAGAAAATGGTTGTTTATCCTTAAGATTCGCCATTATCAGATAAAGGAAACTACCCGTTGACTGGATTATGTTCTCTTCTACAGACTACATAAAATTGTCACCAAGCAAATGTGTATAAGACTAAACAACTGCTGTGAAATGATATCATCAAAAACCTGTTGCAGTAACGCCCTCTAACACAGGATTCATAAACCGTTCCCTGTGAAAACTCACTACATCTCACAGCGTCTATTTCAATGATTTTTTTTTTTTATTTATATCTAACGTAAATATGATGTTGGAATCGGTAGGTGCCTTATCCAAACTCTAGTAGTTGAAACGTGTCCGGAAGCTGAAAGGACGAGCTGGGGGCCTATCTAGATTTGGTTTGTGTTAGGGTAAATTTGAAGTCTGTCTTGATTATTTTTTTTAATCATAAAGTCTGACACTATCCCTAGACCACTGCACCGGCGTCATCACGCCTACTCTTTTTACGAGAAGTCACAGGGGGATCTTTAGCGTGCGAGAGTGGACAATCCTCACACGGACCACTGTTTAAAGTCCCATCCGCCGGACTATAGTTAGCAGTTAGTGGTTAGTTCGGTACAGGTGAATTTGAAATTGACACTTTTTTATTGCCTCGTCTTGAAAACCTTTCCAATCATATTGCTTATGCTACTTTGTCACTTTACAAATGTCTATTGCTTTCTGTGATTCCACTCCATTCCATATACCTACTTTTTATAATTTTATATGTGATTTGTGTGAACGTGCTGAATAATGTACAATGAAGTAGAAAGTGTTATGATAGGCTGAAATTGTATAGTGTTTATTTGATTTGTTTGCTTGTATGTTGTGTTGTATTATATGTATGGTCGTGTGTTGAGTTTAATTGTGTGAGATGATAGATTTCGAGTTTTTGACCCTATAACCAGTGTTGAATAAACAGTACTGTATAAAATAGAACCGTTTATCCCTATTGTATTACCTAACAGAGTTCCATATGCTACAGACCAGAGCACAAGACCCGAATCCGACTGCAAACCAGACCATGACTGTTGTACCCGTAGCGAAGTGTGCGAGGGGTCTTTCTGTGGGAGGAAACCGGAGTACCCGAGGAAACCCCACAGGAATCTAACACCGGGCGCATAGGTAAAGAGCGATAGCGTTACAACTGAGCCACCCGACCGCCCAAACTAAAATCAGTTCAAGGATTTCTGAGAAGAAATCAAAAATAGAAATTATTTACGGATGTACAATACAAAATAAGCGATGACGAACAAGGAGATTAGAATAGGTCGTTAAAATGTAACCCCGGAAAACACATATCCGTCACCTTATCTAAAACAGAGGGGACCGTCGGAGCGAAATTATATCCTTAATCCGTGTGCAAAATGGATGTTCCGGGATCAGTACTTGAGACGAGAGAAAGGAAATCGGGTTAGGTAAAAATGTACAATAAACCACAAAAATTATTTCATCTCTGTTCACATACATGACAGGAAGGATAAGTCTTGTACACTGATGAAATGATAGACAGAATGGAATTTCCTGTAGCGTGGTTTAAATCAAGGACAGACCATCCAATGTCATCTCAAGGACAAACTTTACGTAGCCGACATAAAGCATTGTGATATCATTAAAATGTTTAAGTCATGATATGACAAAGAATCCTTCCATTGGAAACATATTTAAAATAATGTTTTGAATAATAGAGGTTCTGATGATAGATTTACCTATCTAGAAGGCAGTATCATCCATTTCATTTTATAGAAATTTTATTTATCATTGAATAAAACTATTTTACATAGCCTATAGACTAGCTGTCTAGATAAACATACGTAACACTATATAAATACACGTCTGAAAAACAAACAATTTAGCCCAACCCACACAGTGTGATCTCCTTTCTCCCACTTTCACTGAAAATATGACACGCCATAGAGGGCTAATTGCCATTTGCCCAAAGTTGACGCGTTAGCGAGTAAATAAGACATTCTAAGTAATATGCATGAGCTGTTTGCTCACATCCTTGTGCATTTGCAAATATATATTTTTTCACCGATACAGGGCGATACAACAGGCATTAACCGCTGATAAACCTTTTTCATCGATGGAAGAATGAAATAATTAATGATTTTGGGAAAACTCTCTAAAAGAAGTCGATACTTTTACTGCAGGAAAACGTTCAGATGTTGATTCGATATGTTACATGCACCAATGATTTGATACTGATCCTTAGTTTAAACAATATTTTATTCAATGGTTAGCACATGCACCAATGATTTGATACTGATCCTTAGTTTAAACAATATTTTATTCAATGGTTAGCATTTAAATACAGACAGGTACATTTAATCTTACGGGATGGAAAAACAAGCTTAAAGCTGATCCTTACATTTGCTTAGTGTCTTTTTTTTTCTAAAGAGCTGTTAAAATAAACACAAGACTACAACAATAAGAGCAAAGTTTAATAACATGTAAAAATAATGTTGAAGCTCTCCTTATGAAATAATCAAATTGTTCAATGTCGACTTATACATAGCGAAAATGGGTCATCTTATTTGCATTATTTTTTGAGAAAACCAAACATGACACTTTTGATATTTGTAATATGATTGCTTACAAACGCTCTAGTATCAAATTACACAATGCACGTTATGGCTGTTTCGGAATAATTGTAACAACATATGTTGATATACCAGCGAGGTCATTCTATACTAGAAACAGCACACGGATACACATGTATATAATGTATGTTCAACTGGAAAGTAGTGGTTTATATGGAAATCAAGTATTTGTCAACATTTTCTGAAGCATGTTTTACAATTGTGTTTTTCAATGATGAAATACATACGTAAGTAAATTCCGTGTAGATAAGCGTTTTTATATAACAAATAAACATTTTTAGCAGCACAGTCTGTGCATTGTTTAAAAGAAAACATATCCACGCATTCAATCTCATCTATTTCGCGCACGTGCTTCTCATCGATACGAGAGTCGATACAAGAGTCACTACAGGTGAAAAAGAGGAAGATCACCTTGTGAAGTTCACATATAAATCGTCGGCTGAAAACTTCTTTACCAGGTTGTGGTGACAACATAGTGTACTAATGGACCAATAAAGTAATCGTCTAATGCAGAGAGATAAGATTCAGAGGAACAATCAATCAAAGAGTGTCTTAAAACTATCTTCACTCGCTTGTCTAATCCATTAAACCTTTCGTTCCAATGCAGACCTACGCAAATATGTGTTTGGAATTATGTCTACGGTGTTACGTCGCGACATGAGACACCTAACATCCTTTATGACCAAAACATGAATCACGAATTTTTTTTCCTATATTTATAACTTATTGGCAAAGGTAACAAAGACAATGTTTATATATCTATCAAATGTAAAATGTAGATAAAAAACAGTAAATATGTACAACAAGGCAAATCTGATAAGAAATAAAGATTTACAAAAAATAATTAAAAAAATAATACATAACATGCTATTAAATAGTCAATACACTACGTTACACAACAATGTTAGATTTATACAAATTACGTATACTTTAACAATATTAAGATACCGTACCGAAAGATCGACCCGATTTTATAATCTCCGTTCCTGCACGAGTCTACCGTCAGACTGCGAAGATAACACGCTGACCTGCCATTCACACACTGACCTGCCATTCGTGTGTCTGTATATATGTGGAGTCTACGGGAAAGTTGTATCACGGAAAATCATTTTAAGCTATTCGCGTATACACAAAAAGTGAGTACAAAAGAAAATAATGTCGGCAAAATATAGGTTGTACAACCATCGGGAAATTTCAGGTATTTGAAGTAGATTGTCCCGTTTGCTTATGCTGACATACGAGTTCATCTACATACTTGACGTTTGCACTTTAACTGCCATAAATCCGCCACATCGTGTACCCGTGGACATTAATATGTCATAAATATTTTACAATTTAATTTCAAGACAGCGTACAACAGACAACATTTCACAATACCATAGAAGGGTTCTATGAAAACAATTTAGCGTCGGTTTCAATTTTTTACCTCATGTATGCATTTTTCTGAACAAATGTGTGAAGTTTGCCTGGATAACCATCTTAATATATACTAACACATGAAAGGTGGGTCTGTGTGAAAATAAGTTCACGGATGAAAGGAAACAAGATTTGGATCAACATGGGATCTCAAAATAACACACTGAATCGAAAATGTATGATAAAAATTAATAAAACATTACACAGTCCGTTTGGACAGTATGTATTTGCACTATTCCAGAATAACACATTAAGCTATGAAAATATAATCATTTTTGGAGCCCC